GGCAGACAAACAGGGGGCGGCTGGAGTATCAGCGCCCACAAAAGCCCTTTCCCCTCCCCCTCCTGCTCCGCGGCCACCGCTGCCGGACCAGAGCCTACCAAACAACCCTCTTACGTTAGTACGACTGTGCGCGGCCGCGCACACACCAAAGCAAGCAGCCGGCTTTTCCGACAATTTTATTTTTCCGAGCCGCACACCGTCGGAAGCAAAGCATTTGGGGGGGGGGGGGGCAGGGCGAAGGGTAATTTAAATGCCGTCAAGGCGGACACGCCCACGGTACGGTCCACGGGCCGCCCTGGACCTGGAGACTCGCTGGAGGCGGAGGCTCGCTACCGCGTGGCCGGAGAGCGCGCGCCGCTCTGCTGCTGTCAACAGGGGATAAGTTTCGGCCGTCGAGTAACTTGGGCCAATCCTTCGAAATACGGTTCTGGGAACACTTCTTCGCGGGGACTGGAGGGGACAACCAGGGAAGGAAACTTGCTGCTGCTGGGCACCGGATCTTCAAGGTTTTCCGTAACTTAGAGGCAGGGAGTGAAGCTTGCACGCCGCGTGTTGTGCTGGTCTCTGGTACGACTAAGTACAGAGACCGACCCCTCGCCCTCCCTTTACTTGTCTCTTTCTCTCCCTCTCTCATTGACCCTAATGGCCCGGCACGAGGACGGCCCCCGCTTAGGAAGAATCACAACTTTAGCAGCGGACCCCGGCGACCGGCTGCCTAAGCCTGCGAGCCGAGCCGTGGCCGGGCCCGCCGGGCAGAGCGCCGAGCCGACCCGGCAGCCGCACAGAGGCTTTGCCACACGTTGTTTGGATAACGGCGCCACTTAGCGCCGGATGCCTCCCGAACGAAAACCGCAAGGGCGTGAGAAATGGGTGTCGGGTGTGGTCTGGCGTGGCGCGGCGTGGCGGGGGGCGCGCCAAAGAGGATGCGGAATCAACACCAAATGCATCGTTTCTTCTCGTTGTTATTATTATTACAATTAGCAACAAAAAATAAATAAGCACAGTTCAACAAATAAAAACAAAAAATAAATACTGTTGGGGGCAAAGACTGCTCGGCAACTTAGCAGAAGTTACTGTAATGACTGGAGCAGGCCGACGATCCATATAAACGTTTCAGGAAGGAGATAAAAATATTTAGCACCCCCTTCCAAAGATGCGAGAGCTCTATGCCCCCAACAGTTTCAACAGGGAAATAAAACAATCTTCAACAGTAAAAACAACAGTAACATCGATAACAAAAACAAAACAAAACAGTAAAACAAAATGGGCGATACACTAGAGGAAGGGGGAGGTCTCTTCTGCCTCTCTTCTTTACGGGCGGCCGATGCGCGGCGACGACGTCGGACCCGCGGGAGGAGAGGCGGCGGCGGCGGCGGTGGAGGGAGATCTGTCTGGCAACAAGAGGAAGAGGAGGAGGAAGAAGCAGAAGAGGGACGCTAATTAGAATCGGATTGAGGGTGAAAATAATTGGCAATTAGGGGCGCGGCCAAGTCGCCACGAGGGACACGTCCCCGAGAGCCGCTGCGGCGCCCCGCACCACCGGGGGGACGCCACGCGCCGCGGCGGTGGTGCGACGGAGACGGGGGCGGCGGTGGACGCGTCGCACCACCGCCGCGGCCACGCCCGTGCGCCACCGGGCCATCCTCCACTCACCGCTCTGCTGCCCGCTCACAGGTACTGGATGGTGGGGTGGTAGCCGGTGTGGTCCGCCACGTACGAGACGACGAGCCAGCGGCCGCCACCCAGCGGGATGGAGTAGCGACCCCGGATCACGCCGCCGTGCTCGTGCCTGACGAAGTCCCCGCCGGGGCCCTGCTGCTGCTGCTGCTGCGGAGGCTGCGGCCGGCCCGGGCCGCCCGCGGGGCCCGAGCCACCGAAACCACCGCGGAAGCCCGCGGCGGCGCCTGCTGCCGAGGGACCGCGGAACCCCTGACAACAGACATGCATTAGTCCAAGGGTACGGACAATTTCCTGTGCACGGCGCCGCGGAAGCTCGCGCCGCCGTGAGCGGGCGGCGGTGTCGTGACGACCTGTTTAGTACTCACGTTGGACGGCGGCAGGTACTGGCTGCCCGGGGCCCTGGGCGGCGGCCGCAGCACGGCTGGCGGCAGGTAGCTGTCGGGCACGGGTCTCGGACGCGGCGGAGGCCGCGTCGGCCGCAGCTGGGACCGCGGCGGTGGCGGCCGGTAGCCGCTCGCCGGCTTGGCGCCGCCGGCGTCCTTGGGTGGGAGGTACTTGGAGTCCGGCGCCGACTTCTGGCCCCCGGCCGCCGGCGGCAGGTAGTTGTTGCTCGGCGGCGATGCGGACGCCTTGTTGGGCGGGAGGTACTTGGTGTTGGGGGCGGCCGCGGCGGCGGGGCCGGCGCCTCGCGACGGAGGCAGGTACTTGGTGTTCGGCGCTGCCGCGCCTGCGCTGCCCTTCGGCGGCAGGTACTTCATGGTGGGGCTGGCGGCGCCCGCCCCGCCGGCGAAGGGCTTGGCCGGCTTGTTGTAGTTGTAGGAGCCGTCCGCGTTCTGCGGCGGGGTTGGCCGGCCGGCGGCCTGACTAGGAGGGAGATACTTCATGTTCGGCGCCTTACCCTTTGGCTTGCTGGCTTCGCCGCCAGCGGCGGCCGGCGGCAGGTACTTCGTATCCGGCGACGCCGCGCCCGCCTTCTTTTCAGGGGGCAGGTACTTCATGTCTGGAGCAGCTCCCGGCGCCGCAGCCGCACCCTTCCCGCCGAACGGCGTGGCCGGCTTGTCGTAGTTGTAGGACCCGTCTGCGTTCTGCTGTGGCGCGGGGGCGGCGGGGGC